TTAGTTATTGTTCTAAGGCTTGTATTATATACAATGACTCTCTTCATATAAAATATAATAACTCGGTTAGTTCACTCACTTAGGTATATATCAATTTATCGCCCAATGTTTAGATTTACATCTGTGTCGTTCTCTTTTAAAGCGTTCACCAGTTGCAGGTCGCAGGCTCTCTGGTCTACTTTTTTTTTATTGCTAGGTGGTGTAAAGCTCGAATAAAGAATACTTCCACCTATCAGTCAGGCTGCTGCTATCAGCCTAGTAGGTATTGCAAATGGTGCAATACGCAATTATTATTCAAATATCTTTTCTACCTATCGAATCACTGGTTACCAAAAACTTTTCCAATTCAAACTTTTTGTAACTTTTACAAATATAATGAAATAAACCTATTACGTAGACTATTTTTATTTTTTTTCATCAATTAAATAATATTATCCTAACAATCTATATTAATATTATAAAGAGGCAAGAGTTGAATGTTTGTAACAAATGATCTCTTATATTAATCAATTTCAAAAATTATTAAACATAAGGTAGCTACACTATTTATTATATTTTCAAACATTTATCTCAATACCGTTGATTAATCTGCTCGATTTAAAAATCGAAAAAAAAATTACTTGAAAAAAAACCACTCTGACAACTTCCCCGAGAGAAAATATTTCTAGTAAAAAAATGTCTATTTAACTACATTATCCGAGTGACTAAACTACATTTTATCTCGTTAAAATAATTTTTGGCCATGCAATGCCGGGGCGGATCACTAGTATAATATAATATTGTAGATGTGAAAGTGAGTTTGTTTTTAACGCTTTTGCGCCCTAATAGCTTAATCGATTATTATGAATTTCCCTATATAAATAGATGGGACCTTTGTTCTGAGCTACATTATTGAAATACTTTTAAAGTTAGGGTGATGGTAGGGGTGATTTACCTATAAAACTTTATATTATTTAAATTTTAGTTTATATCTATATTAAATTTTAGGTATTCACAGATACGCTCAGTTCATCTTCACTCTGATTTACTCAGCTTATCTCCACTTCACACTTCGCTCGGCTCTGGGCAGCTTCAGTGTTAACACTAACCTATTTACACGGCTCCGCTCTGTTCAACTCCGCGCAGCTCCCACTACGGTGGAAACGTACCTAACACTGTTTCTTTTACATACCTTTTCGATACCTTTTCTGCGGTCCATAGTAGTATCTCTCGCAGTGGCGTAGCGTGCCTTAGCAGGGCCCCATATGAAAATTTGTTTGAGAGCCCATAGGAAGGGTAAAGATTTCTCACAAAAGAAAAAAATGTTTGCATAAAATTAAAAGAAATAGCTATTTATTCATCATCATTATCTTTCACATTTTCCAAAAAAAATTTACAAACAATGCAAATTAAATATGTTTCAAAAATTGCACCCATTTTACTATAGTTTCTCATTTTTTCTACACTCACCTCACCAGCTTGAAGAACATCAAGATCCTCGGTATCTATATGTTTAGTTACACAGTCACTTAGATCAAAAGGTTCGATTGGTATCCAAGAAACTCGACGTTGAATCTGGATACTAGTGAGACCTCCTGTCGCGTTTCAAAGACGCACTGCAAAAATAGTTGACGATCGTAAAGAAAAGTGGTATTGAGCCCTTATACTTCAAGAAAAAATTTGCCCCTCTTTATGTATCTTCGGCGGCTTGTACATCATGTAAAAGTGTTCCTACGAAACTTTTTGATGTGTTAAATAGTTAGTTCATCATCCAACTTTAGAATCACGGACGGAGCAAATATTTAGTTAGAGATATTGTACATGTAAGGGTTTGCTCTAAAAATCAAGTGAAGCCGCTAAGAGCGGGTGCAGAGAGCATTACAGGACGCAAACAGTAGGGAAACTAAAAGCAAGCTGATAGCTGGCGTGTTTCAAAGGTTCTGTTTTGTCACTCGACAGCAGGACTATCAACCTTAAGTTGTACTAATTGTACAAATGTGTACTAATTTTTAGTTCTCGTTACGTCCGTTGTGGCGCTGCTGTTCAAGTTTCCCTACAAAATTTGACATTGACATTTCGCACTTGGAAACTGTTCGATTAGATAATGGTTCGTGCTAGGGGTACTGGTGTCATAGGCCACCGGGCACTACTCACCAGTAGGTGGACAATGTGCTCATGTACCTTCCAAATAATATAAAAAATCCTCTGCACATAATTTCGAACGTTTTTATTGTATTTTAGGCTAATGTAGCTCGCAAGGGAATTAATATCTTATAAATTACAATCACTTCTATATAGACAAGAGTTTATTATCGTGAAAACAAACATGCAATTACATTTTTTAAATGTTGTTACATTTTGTTATATTGTGGTGCTCTTGATATGCTGCTGTGAATGGGTTAAACAAAATTATTATGACTTAAGAACTAAATGCTCAAGCATACAATGCGTTTTGAATAGACATCAACTGTATGGGACGGATTGATTCTCGATTATTATTTTTGTATACTTTTTAATGGAAAATGCACCAGCAAACATTTAATGGTCGAAAAACTAATAAGAAATAACATGAAATAATAAAGTAGTTCGTAAAATCGACATAACAACAGAACTTTTCGTAACTTAGTTTAATGGTTAATACTACAATACATTACTTCCTAAACGTTAAAGTTCGGCTGTGTCTTAAGATGATGATGTGCAAGATGAAAACTCAGCCAAATCAGTTTACTTTTTTAATATCACTAGGTTTAATTTGCCAAGGCATCACCAAATCACAGAACGCTATCTCAAGACAGTTACAGCAAATGACATATCATAAAGAGTAAATTATGGTTCAATGCGGTACCATGACAGAATTAACTTCATAAAGTCACCATAGTGGTAGTTCAATTTATTAATATACAAATTGCGATAAAAAGCATATAACAAATAATGTTTGCTTTAACAAAGTAATACTAAATGAATCATTAGTCTTAATGTATGATTTAACAAAACAACAGTAAAGTGTATGGCTAACATTTTAAATTTCATTGCATCTAAGACTTGAAAATTTTCAACATTTTCAGTTATATAAAAATTACTTAAACCCGAGAGAGTACCAAGTGATCACAGATTCTGAAAGTCCGTTCAAATCAGTACAAAAGTAACCAATATTCTGAAACGGATAACCTTATCACTACTACGCCATAGGATGAAAACTGATTCATGCTCATACTATACTTCTAGTAAATAATTTTCAATCATGATTGTTTGAAAACAATGATGTTACCTTTTTAATATTATGAGCATGCATCTGATTTCATTTACTATGTAATTTGTCTATGATACGACATAGATATGCTATTTTATTATTAGCTAGTATAAAATCATCGTTTGCCAGCCAGTACTCTGAATAAAATTACAAATGCATATCACTTTGGCAAATAGAAAAGTTCATTTATTACGCACAACCTCGCAATACGCTAGCGACTATTTGTATAGTCAAAACAGTAATAAATAAAATTTGAAACTCAACAACTGCACAAGTACTGGCGTTCAAACATCAATGAGGTTATGACATTCGGCTTATGATAAACATTCTTTTATAAGGTTAAAATAAAAGATATATCCCCCCTATTGTCACAAATAGTCCCCAAAATTCCTTTTCTTGTATGTTGTAACAGTGAACACATCAGTGAGCGAGTGCCAGGTGCCAAACTTTTGAATAAACAAAAATACCCTGATGTAACATGTATCAAGCTACAAATACTAAGCTTAAAATTACATAAACACATACACTTCGTACTTACTTCAACTATCATATTAATAAGCAGCACGAAACGTGTTTTTGACTTTTATCAAAATACTAAGTAAGACGTACGAAAGTCAATTTCGATAGTCAAATAAATAACTCATAAAAATGAAGTGAGTTGATAGGCAGAAAGCGACAGGCGAGCATTTTTGGAGCAAGCAAAAATTTGTTCTATGAACCCATGTTTAAGTTATAAGTTGATTATCTTTGATTCCAAAAATGCCCGCTGATAGCTTCTGCTTAACACAGCTCAATTGAAAACCAAAAAAAAAACAAGCAAAAATGTAGTAAGAAAAAACTTATGATTACATTACATCGTTGATTGCTTTTTGCTTGAGTCCTTTGCGGCGCGCAAGTGTCATGATGATTAGGCAATAAATATACAGAGAATAGCCACGTAAGGCCATGTCTAATAATGTAGTAGTCTGCCTTTAATGCTTATTTTATGTATTAGTATTTTTTTCCTACGAAATATTGGTGGTCGCTTGAGAATACAATTTGCTCCCTGTGGAGAAACCTCCACACGCATCATATTTCTAATTCATAAGTTATATATATATAACAAACACTCAAAATTCAAATTGCAGTGCTAATAAATACGACTATTAAAAACATTTAAAACACTAATATTCGGTTACTCGATTTCGTGAGATAGAGATCGTTTGTTATAAGAGTCACACTACTTAAACCAATTACATCAACATTCATGTAAGATTCTCAATTCCTCGGACTAAAAAAAATACGTATCATCAAATCAATAGTATCTATTAAACATAAGCGGAGATCCGGGGTCGGAGTTAAGCTTAGATACCACTAAAACGTCCCATTAACAAGCAAACCCTAAGCCTAACAAACAAATGTTATTTATTATTACCCAAAAACCGTTAAGTTCTCAACGTCAAGATCCTTACATTTAGGTCATGTCTAATTACAAAAATCTTAAAAAGTATTTTTGTCAATTAGTGTGATTTTATCGTAACAGAGTCCAGAACACATTGTGGTTATTATAAATCATGAAAGACTTCAAAACTAAGAGAAAAACATTGTTTCGATTGATAAAGTAAGCGACAGCCGATTCACAGCGTAAAGAATACAACTTTTAGAAATACATATACATTTTTATATTTATTTTCCTAAAGAAATTCGGAAGACGTGAAGGTACATCGTTGTGAAGGAAAAAAAACTGAAAAATAGTAATTTTATCTTAATCATTACTAAAAGTTGAGCATTCCGACGATATATTCTAAAATATAAAAGTGCCTTGTTATTTTACTAGTTAACTAGTGACCTATCCCAATATCCCATTTATGTAGTACATACTAAACATGCTTATCAAAATTGATTTGCTAAGCAAGCAAGCCCTATTTTAAAAGAATACCTAAACAACTAAACACGGATAAACTTCTTATTTTGAAAAATTCCGGATTTCGAAAAGGCTCCGGTCTTTTGGTTTGGTTGTTTGATATTGATTTTGCTTTTTTTATTAACTTTGGGGACAGATCAGTTTTTGCAAAAAGTCGGTGCCCGGCCGTGTATTGTGGATTTCGTTGGAATGGGAAAGTTTTGACATGGTTGTTTGATATTGACTTGTTGTTTTTTTTTTATAAACTAATGGGGACTGGTTATTGGGACAATCAATAAGACAATTACAAAGTCTTTATTTTAAAAGATCTCATGTTAAACATACCTACAGATATTTCTTAAGCTGTGAATCGGGTCTTGGAATTGACACCTAGGGACTGCGGGATTTTGCCATAAAGGTATAAGAATAGAGTGGAGAAGGCGGCTCTAAAAGTGTCCATCTAGTATAAAGAGAAAGAAGATGAGAGACCGCTAATGGTCCCTATCTTCTTTCTCTTTCTATTAGGGGGACACTTCCACTTGTAGTAGTCTATATCTTCCCTACTCTATTCCTCTATGGTTTTTGCTTGGGTGGCGTTTTGAGTTCACTTGAACTGGCCGAGGGCGAACGCGTCCATTATTTTGGGCACGTGCTCGTCTACTCCGATGATGTCCAGAACACCTTCGTGTGTTCCATCCGTAGTTCCAACGCGATGCGACGCTAAAGACATCGTGATCAACCTAGGAATAATTTAATTTGGTTATAGGAGGAAATTAAAGTAATTCATCATCCGCCTATTATTGTCTCCACTGCTGGGGCACAGGCCTCCCCTATAGATGGAATAGGTAGATTGGGCCATGACCTACCACACCCCCAGTGCGGATTGACGGGTGCTTACGACTGCAGATGCAGCCGGAGGAACTCGAGATAGTAAATTTTTGGTCACCCATCCAATGACCGACTACTGCTTAAGTTGCTTAACTTCAACGGTCGCAGTTGAACGCGCTAACCACTTGCGCCATCGAGCTCCTCAGTAATTATCATGAAGTAATTATGATGAATGTATAATATGATCACGGTATGAAAAGGTTAACCATAAGATGACAAATTTGAAATAGGGATGATGAAGGGGTAAAGCAAACGAAATTCCATTCACGAAGTCCATCTGTTAGATTTATCAGAAAATAATAGATAAGTTTTTTTCTTCTTTTGTCAATTGACAGAAAAATTACAAAATGAAGCATGTCAAAGTTTGGGTGTAGGGGGTTAACAGCAGAAAATAGCCGAAATCACTACCAACACTCCCCTCACACATTATAGTGCCTCGGTCTGGCGCAGGAGTATTATCTGATTTTTACTGGGCGGGGAGGAGTCTTTCTGATTTTTACTGGGCGGGGAGGAGTCTTCAGATATCCTGTTCGCGTTGGTTTAGTTAGGCGTAACGCCTTTTCCAGAAAGAAAAAAAATACCAAAGGCTGTAGACACTTGGCATTAGGGAGTCCTCTGCTGATCAAGAAAAAGACATACTGTACCCTGGGCCACTTCGATTGTTCTGCTCTAACTCCATGAAGCTCTAAAGTCTGCTGATTAGGGCATTCATTATGTTTAGTCACTCACTTGGTGTTGGGTAGTTTAGCCTTCTGCCTGTATCATTCCAACGCCCGCACGGGAAAATGATCAGGCAAATCTTCGTTAGTAGGCGGCAATTCATACCGTCCTGCGGGCCCGCGGTAGCCAAGACCGGTAGATACTTGCCATTGAGGAGAAGCTTTAGCGATCATAAGTCTTGCTGATCTAATGTATAGCAGTCACCTGGTGATGGGCAGTGGTCGGGTAGGTCGTTTTTAACAGAGCCGCTGGTTCTGCTTCAGCTCCATGAAGCGCATGGTGAAGATAGCCAAGGCTCTAAACACTTGGCATTGGGGAGTACTAATCTAGACACAATACATCCTAGTATCGACACTTACTTGCTATGAGGCAGTTTGGCCTTCTGCCTGTATCTCTCTAACGCCCGCACGGGACATGGATCAGGCAATTCTTCGTTAGCAGGCGACGGTCCATATCTTCCTCCGGGTCCGCGTCCACCGCGTTTGTTCTGCTCTAACTCCATGAAGCGAGTGGGACGATCCACCATGTTAATGAAGACGTCCACTTTGTGGTTGTTCTTGCTCGCCCATTCTATGGGGGCGTCGAACTGCACGCGACGCGACGTCTGCCGCGTTTATTCTGCTGTAACTCCATGAAGCTCTAATGTCCTGTTGATTACGATAGTCCTAGTATCTAGTACTCACTTGGTGTTGGGCAGTTTAGTCCTCTGCCTGTATCGTTCAAACGCCCGCACGGGACATTGATCAGGCAATTCTTCGTTAGCAGGCAACGGTCCATACCGTCCGCTGGGCTCGCATCCACTGCGTTTGATCTGCTCTAACTCCATGAAGCTCTAATGTCTTGTTAATTAAGACAGTCCTAATGTCTAGTACTCACTTGGTGTTGGGTAGTTTAGCCTTCTGCCTGTATCGTTCCAACGCTCGCACGGGACAATGATCAGGCAATTCTTCGTTAGCAGGCGGCGGTCCATATCTTCCTCCGGGTCCGCGTCCACCGCGTTTGTTCTGCTCTAACTCCATGAAGCGAGTGGGGCGATCCACCATGTTAATAAAGACGTCCACTTTGTGGTTGTTCTTGCTCGCCCATTCTATGGGGGCGTCGAGCTGCACGCGACCGACGTTCGCTTTCTGGAAGTATTCATGTCATTGTAAAGAGAACTGCCTGCATTACGTAGACGTATTTGTTCTGTACCGCTAGCCCGAACCATTATCGAGTTCAAATAGTTTGCGAATCCGAAATGTCATTGTCAAATTTTGTATGGAAACTTGAACAGCAGCGCCATAACGGAAGTAACGAGAACTAAAAATCAGTACACATTTTACGTATATCTAGATCGAATTGGTTGATATTGGTTCGTCCTAAGGTTACAGATATCTGTTGCCAGACATAAAATGTGTGCATACAACATTTGACAATAAGATTTCGCACCGGCAAACGAAACGAATTCAATTTTGGTTCGTGCTAAGGGTAGTACTGTACGCACACGCCCTTAGCACGAACCAAAATTTAATTAGAATATATAGTTGAATTCGATCTTTAAATGCGTCAAATATCAGAACGTTTTATGTGGAAGACTTTTATTTCTCGTTACGTCCGTTGTGTTCAAATTTCCATACAACATTTCTTGACATTTGACGCGTATCGAGATCGAATTCAACTATTCAAATACGATATTGGTACGTACTAAGAGTACTTAAATGTGTTGAATTTCCAGTAAAAAGTATTTCTTTCTAAAAACAAGGTACATGGTAACAATTCCGTGAATAACATAAATTGCTATAATGTTAATGACCATGAAAGTTTAAAACAAAACATTTCCTTAGATATAAAAATCTGACAGTTTAGTGCTTAAACAAACATGTATTAAGGCCATATGGTACATGTACTAGCTAAAAGTGACGAACTAAGTAGTGTGGAGTGGTATATTATACGCCGAGTTTTAAAGTACCGCCTATTCAGAGGTCCCAGGTTCGAATTCCGGTGGGGCAAATTATGATGAATAAGAGCACTTGTATTTTTTTTTAAGTTATGAATATTTATACATATTTCTAGATAAATATATTTATATGTATCAGTATATATGTATTCTATCTGTTACCCTAGTATCCCATAGCACAAGCCAAAGGGTACGGCCAGAGTGCACTCAGATTCAGATTCAGATTCCGAAAACAAGCGCGAGAAATAAACAGTTTAGTTAAAGCAGGGTGGCCATAGTGGCAGCAGGCAACCTGCTTAAACTACACTGTTTATTTCTCGCGCTTGTTTTCGGAATCTGAATCTGAGTGCACTCTGGCCGTACCCTTACAGTGGTTACTGTAGGCTAGGGTTTAGGCTAGGGTTTTTTGTAAAAATAAAGAAAATCTAACTTTAATGATATTTCATTTGGGTTCTTTTTCTTTCAATGGGTGTGTTTGATATTCAAATATCGTATCGTAATATCATCAAGCTTGGTGATAGTGCAACGTGCTGGTTTCCGCTTAAAGTGAAACAGATATTTTACTGGTGGACAGACTAACTGGTGTTACTATGATTACCCAATAACGCACAAGAGATGCCATAGTCCAAATGTTACTGTTGCAAAAACATTTTCTAATAAACTTTACATACCCTCAAAACAAATTCTGCTTCTTCAATGTTGCTAAAGTTGCGTTCAATTGAAACTATCTGGATACCCTCCTCGGTGAAGACAGCAAGTTTGACATTTTTCTCACGCTTTAGGATTTGCAAAGCTAGAATGATCGCTGTGTAGAAAATAGAGCAAAAACACATTATCAAAAGTTCAGTTAGCTGTTTGTATCACAAGATCAAATACTACCCATTATAAACAAACCGTAATTGATAAAGTGAAAAAAAATATACTGATTTTGTTGAAATTTCTAGAAGAAGTCTACTTTGTCTAGAAGTTACATACAGGCCTTTTGGCTACAGAGTTAATCAGTGTCAGTGTTCATGGAGCCGTTTGTGTGAGGGACCGCCACTCGTGTAGAATGTGAAATTGTTGATAAAACATAATACGGAACAATGATGCATGATATAAATTATCGGTAGTCTAAAGTATATTCGAAGTAGAAAAAAATGTGTAGCGTCTAATAAATATTAAATATAGCCACTTAAGCCTCGATGTCATCGGCTTTTTTACCATCTGCCACTCGATGATACGGGGCGAGTTTACAAGCTACTAGCGAACTCGCTGGCTTGTAGCTTGTAAACTCGTCCCGTGCCATCGAGGCTTTAGCACGAGCATTTTAAACGCTCGTTATTTTGAAACTCTTAGTGTGACGTCACACTCCATAGCAACTTAGCAACAAAACAAACAAGTTCACAGTTACATTAGGAGGTAAGGTGCGCGCGTACTACACTAGGTATATCTAGGTCTCGTTGACTTAAATAAATAACCTGTGAACATAGCGCTTGTTTGGTGAATTTTTGTTATGTTTTCTTCGTCACAACCACTCTGTCTCGATTTATATATAATTGGTAGTTTTACCTGCAAAGTTTTCCGGGAGTTTTGAAAATTGTTTTTTTTATAGATTTCGAGGTGCTCGAACAAATCGAAGGAGAATACGCTAAATTAGCACATTGAATTGCAAGTGGATTAGGCCTATTGGTGATACCACATTCAAAAAAAACGCACCACTTACTCTACCTCAAGGTGGTGTGGAAATGAGTTTTTGGCCAAAATGCGCGTTGGAGTACACTTTGCGACGCTCGCACGCCAAAAATATTGACTTTATGAAAAAAAGGTAGATACATAATTGTAGGCAATTGTCTCTATAGTCTATTCACTTTGGGCTGAGACAAAATGTAAACAAACCATAAAATGGATACTTTTTAAGGTCACTTTTGGCAAAAGTAAATATTAAATACTATTTACATAGAAAATGCAGCAAAACATTAAGTTAATTATTTTAAAAGCTGGCACATACATATGAATAAGAAAATAAAATATTTTACATACATTTAACTTATATACCTACACATCATAAAATCGTATATTTTTATTTTGCGTAAAAAAGTATTTTAAAAACCTAAGTTGACAAGGAAAAAGACCTAAAAACACAAATATTCCCAAACTTAAGACGTATTATATTACGACAAAATTGAAGAGTCGCATGATATAAGTATTTTACGTTGAAGTGTTGTGTTTTGTAATCGGTTGGTTTACGCCAGCCATCTTTACTCTCCCGATCAACCTGTTGACGCGAGCGTGCATATCGTCGTTGCGCTTGGAAAAACCGACAAACGTCAAAATCAAAATTTTCAGGAGACATAAAAAACTGATTGGAGGTGAAATTGAATACTTAGGTGTAGAATCAAATATGCAAAAAAATAAAAAAATATGTTACACAATAGATTACAAATTAAGTTTCAAGAAACAATAACATCTCTTTGAAAGAGATTTTTTTTTCATAATTTAAGACACTTAGCTGGTTTTTTTTGTGTCGTAAAACACCGCTATGTATTTTTCTGACACAAAGCTGATTTCCCGTTTTAGATTTAACACCCTTCACTAGCCTATATATCCACAAAACGTATTTATTCTATTAAATAGAATAGTTAACACGTCAATCTGCATCATGAAATTTTTCATCTAGAAGGTACGCCTCTAGAAAGCCAGAGAAAGAACATTGCTTTAAAAAATCATTTTATTAGACAGGAAAGTAGCTTTAGTAGGGCAAAAATTATGGCAGGTACTGAAATTTTCGCTGCGACATTTGGTAATCAAGTACACTAAAATCTTAGGTTGTCGTAGAATGAATGGTAATCTCGATGCATGTAAGGCTTAAACAATTGAAGTTGGTCGAATTTGCTTTTTTCTATTTTACTAGGTCTTTCGTGTAACAGTGTTGATATAACTCAGGTTTTCTTCGTTGTGGTAGCAGTACCCAGTCATCTGGGTGAAAAATTTTAAACCAAGCTTTGCCTTGTTTACAAAGCAGTGCCCTAATATCTGTAACAGTTGGATCTCCTGTTTTTTTGTTACTTGGTAAATCGTCACAATTTTTGAAGAAAGTGTGGGCGACGTTAGTCACTTCGTACGGCTGTGTTGGTCTTGCTTGTCGGATCCGGTAGACATAGTCGCCAGGGGTATATAGTGGTGGTTGAAAAACTTTTCTAGAGTAGAGTGCACACTATCCACCTCCATCATTGTGTCCAAGGGGCACACAATGATGGAGGAGAAGGAGGATGGAGTCATTTTCCAAAATAATTTGGTGGATGACTATCGATTCTTTATTGGAAATGTCAGGCAATGCACTCACTCAGACTTTGTTTTTGATCTGGTATGCACAGCCATCTGATGTTAAACCAAATTTTTGGTATCCATTCGATTCTTTTAGTTTTTCCGTAAAATCTAGAATGCTTGTTACAAACTTAGTTTATTATTGTTAATTTATATTGTAAAATATGTATTTGTCCTTTTTCTTTCTTTGAAAGGCTGGTAACTCATTTTCCTAGCAACAAAAATAATAAACGGAATACATTTTCGTCAATGATTGCAGTGCATCGTCAACATATATCCTGGAACTGTTTGCGCGACAATAATGGCTAGGCACCATCTGTAGCACATCTAACCACTTCGTAACTGAATCTGATTTCAATGTTTTTCGTTTGATCTGGTTTGGATTATTACTTGGCAATGTCATTGATTCTGTTGTATGTTTCGTGGCATATTCTGCTCTTATCCAATCTGTGAAAGATTTTTTTTTAATATCTAGTGTCGCTAGTTAAAAGTCTCTGCAAAGTCTCAGTTTGATACCGTCATGTCTCGGCAAATAACAATCAATGCTATTGTTTCTTTTATGATCTGTTTCTATTAAATCTTCCGATGTCTTGCGTCGCTTGTTAATAGTTTCCTATTGAAATTTGGATATTGGCTATTGAGATTAAGCAATATCCAAATTTAAATAGGGTAGTTAGTTGGTATATACCTCCAGCTTAGGAACCCAGATAAAATTCTTACCCTGAGCTATTAGACATAGACCAACAGATACAATTAGTTCTTTTTGTTTGCATGATTTAACATAAGAAGGAGAAAGGAAGCCTCCCGAAAGAGTTTATTTTCGCCGGTTCTTTTTTGGAAAATCTCCTAATTTTGGAACCGCAGGTAGTTTACGGTAGTTAGAATCAAATAAATAAAATTATAAAAAAGAATTAACGAAAGTACTTTATTATTTAATTAACTAATATTTTCATGCATAGACAATAAAGTTTTAAAAATCTACCTATTGGTAAATATCCGAATTCTTAATAAAAGTCTTTCGAAGGTAGCTCGACAAAGTAAATAAAAAATCATTATTCTGAAGACGCATTCCTGCAAACGCTACGAAACGTCAAGAAATAAATAAAATCAGCGCATCTAACGACGGAATAAAAAGTTTGAAGATAATAATTATATATAACAATATAGTATTTTAACGAAATGGGTAGTTTGAGGTTGTGTTTAATAAAATCACCAAAAACTCACTTTTTTACATTTATTTCCACGGTACTGTTTGTTGAAATAAGTATTTCCGTATGTTCTGCAATAATTTAAAATCCAATCCTTTACAATAAGTTAATAATGTGAAACTTGCAATAAATACTTGTTTAACAAACAAACAAGTTAAATAGTGTAGTTTCGTTTGCACGCCAAATAAAATTACCGCCATGTGCAACATAAAGGCGCAGGAATAGCGCATCGACTATGAGTGGAAAATACGCCATGTATACCACCGACACAAAGCGCATTTTGACGCCTATTTTTCTTTGACAAATACATAGCTGTTTATGTTACTTTTCTTGCAAACTGACTTTTGACAAAACGGGTTTTATAGCCCTATCGGGCGTCGCAAATTAAGCCAAAGTAGCCACAAAGCTCAATTTTTGCAATTCTCAAATGCCACAAGCTTGATTTTCCAGGCGCAGCGACGATATTCAATCTTATTTGTTAAATTCTTGTTATTTCCTTGTTTTATTTGTTGAGTTAGTTGTTATTTTTTTTTACTGTTAAGTTTAAAGTTGTTAGTGATTGTTTTCTTGTTGAATTGACGTTTTCGTTGCTATAGTTATGAGTGGTGAACCTGGACTAAGCAGCTCTTGTACATTTTCTTCGCCGAAGAAAAAGCGTACAAAGAGTGGTCCATTGCGCTCCAAGGAAAAGGAGGTCGTAATAAATGTTTTTAAACATGTCGAAGAAACCTGGCCAAAAGATTCCTATCCATATAAAAGCGATATAATGAATAAATCCGCCGAAATACTGGGCTTATCACGAGCTACTGTTTACCGGTTGGTGAAGGAAAAGAAAAGTACCGGCCGTATCTCATCACCTCCGCCTCCGCCATCTAAACTATCTTTGGTTGATACATTGGACGATATGGATAAGGCTGCGATACGCCGTAAAGTCCACACATTTTTTTTTAATAAGGAGATGCCCACCGTTGACAAAGTATTGCACGCTGTGAACACAGATGAAACTTTGCCAAACTTTAAGAGGACCTCCTTTTTCAAGTTAATGAAAACATTGCAATTTAAATATGCGAAAAGAAGCCGAAAGAGTGGACTTATTGAAAGGGATGACATTATTTTATGGCGTATCAAATATTTAAACAATATTGTAAAGTTCAGGGGCGAAGGCAGAACTATTTATTACACTGATGAGACTTGGCTAAATGAAGGTTAGTAAAATACAATATTAAACTACTTCATTCTATGGGATATTTACTTCTGAATAAATTATGTTTATTTTTGTATTCTTAACTGCTAAACTAATTTATATTTTTTATTGTTAATCATCACAATACTATCATATATTAATTTTTATTATAATTTACATACACATAATTTTATGACAATATTTTTGTAAATATTTAATGATACTTATTATTTTCATACCATGTCTTTATCCTGTGAAAATGTTACTCAAATAGGTAGCAATTGAATTAAATTATGATTGTTTTTATTTTTCAAAAGTTGTTAAGAACTTTTATTTGTTACAGGACACACTATGAACAAAATTTGGCAAGATAATTCTATTAAAACTGTGAAAGAAGCTCATCGAGAGGGATTGTCAATTGGATTGAAAAGCCCAAGTGGAAAAGGGAAGCGTCTGATCGTACTGCATATTGGTAAATATTGTAGTACTATTTAATTCCTGTAAGCAAATAACTTTACTTTTACAATACCCAAGCATTACCTAAAACTCTTGTCAACCGTTTGTGGGATAACAAGCGTGATTATATTAATGTATGTAAATAATTTTATTTTAACATGTGGTAAGGCAAAAAGATCAAAGACTAAGATTAGAAAGTTATCCTTATATTATATATATATATATATATATATATATACTTGAATTGCATTATTATTATATATAATAGTAACTAATGATTCATTTTGAGTAATGATATATTGTTTGTTAACAGGATCCAGCTCAGGATTTTTGGAAGGGGGAGAATTGATTTTTGAGGCAAAAAAAAGTGACGGAGACTACCACTCTGAGATGGATGCATACAACTTCGAGAAATGGTTTAGTGATATTCTGCCTAAATTAGATGCTAACTCTGTTGTTGTCATGGATAATGCACCGTACCATTCAAGAAGGAAAGAAAAGATACCTACGTCTTCTAATAAGAAGTGTGAGTTGCAAGCATGGCTACAGGATAAAAACATATCCTTTGACGAAAGTGAAAGAAAGGTTGAGCTTCTGTATAAAATTAAACAAATTAAGGATGCTTATATGACATATGTTGTAGACGAAATGGCACAACAAAAGGGTATCACAGTGTTAAGACTACCACCTTACCACTGTGAATTAAATCCCATTGAGCTGATATGGGCACAAGTCAAGGGATATGTTGGTAAAAATAATAAAACATTTAAGATGACTGAAATTAAAAATCTATTAGCCGATGCCTTACAATCTATAACAGCTGAATCATGGAAACGGTGCATTGACCATGTCATAAAAGAAGAGCAGAAAATGCTAAAATTAGATGGTATTGTTGATGATGTTGTAGATAAATTTATAATTAAAGTTGGTGGCAGTTCATCTAGTGAGTCATCGGAGAGTGAATAAATATTACTTGTAAAGTATTATGCTGGTTTCATTTGAAATACACATTCTTTTATTATATATATCATCATATAGACAGAATTCATTATAATTTCATTATAGGTTATGTAACTTAGTAGGTACTTTCTGACATTATAAAAGTTTTAGAACCTCTGATTCATTGTTTACATTTTGTCTCACCCCAAAGTGAATAGACTATAGTTTCATTTTGTATTAACTGTTTTTATAGTAAAATGAGTCGGAAAGGAGATATTGTTAAAAAACTGTCTTTAGGCGCCATTTGTCAAAAATACGAGGTGGCAAAGTCGAAATTAGGAAAGAGCACCTCAAAATTTATAAAATTATCAATTTTCAAAACTCCCGCAAAACTTTCCAGGTAACCACTATATTTCTCACCGAATGACTGTACTAATATAAGAATTTCCCACAAGTTTTTCACATTGACAATAATGAATTTCTCGCTCAAAAAGAAATTTTATAAAATAAATATTTATTGAGGGAACGGATGGAGTTTATGCAAAAAAATTGAGCCTTATTTGAATTACGAGCATATTACAAATTCCATGTCAAGATTTACGCCCGCTAAACGCCGGGTTGTTTGAGACCGAGTGCTGTGGGACCGCACAAAAAAAAGAGTTGTGAGTTTTGACATAAAACAGCTCTGCGGTTACCCACCGGGTAAAAACCGCTCCGTGATTTCTTATCATGCATACAGGTTCACTAAAAAGAAGAAAACCTGTTGTTGTTGTTTTAATATTTTGTACCTGCATGTCCAGGTGTGACGTGTTTATTGTAGAAGCATTCGGCGTACAAGTGCTTCTTGCTCTTCTTCTCGGTTTCCGCGTCGCCCCCTCCACTGGTAGGAGGCTTTGTGGTCGTAGCTGTAGCCTTCTTACCCTTTTTAGGCACTACGTATGTCTTGCAGAAATGACGACCTAGGATAATTTTAGATTTAATTATTTGTATCTTAAGTTTTCACGTACACCACTCATTAAATGAAAAACATTATTCAATGGGTTTAAAAATGGATTAAAAACGTATTTTAAACCCGTTAAAATTATTGTTTTATTGAATTAAAAGATTGTTTTGGCTTTTGAATACATTCTCTACATTTATTGATGATATTGGTCATGTGACTACCTAGGATTTAGCTTACTTCATAATAGTATTATAAATATAATCTTTAGCTAGATAGAGGAAAATAAAAATATTAAAAACTACATACGGCTATATTTTTTTGCCTTGCCCTGACAAAAACTGACTGTGATTCATTTTTATTTATACAGAAAATAAAAAATATAGAAGAAAAAGATAAAAGACAATAATAGTTTTGAAATGCTAGTCTGCCAGTCAAGTAAGAAATTACGTGGTTGAGGCCAATCAAAGGCCGACAACTAAACCTCTGAGAAAATACGATGAAAACTGGTGTCACAGATTAGTACAGATAAATCACTCTTAAAATACCTACGTCGTAAAGCACAAAGTGGTTTCATTTACCTTTAAACATATGGTGTCTCATGTCCAAGGTGATCATGTAGCGCACTTTAGTGGGCGGCGTCAGCAACCACGTTTGGTCAATGAGCTTGTTCAAAGCTGCCAACACAGCAGGGTTCGGAGGTTGGTCTATGCCTATTGATATAAAAGCGAAAGTTAGTTTAGTCATCGAATTTATCTTGAACTATAAATAGTTTAGTTTTCAGGGTGGTTTCTGCATTTAGTCCTAATCATTGGACCATTGTGCGTGTCTTGAAACATTCCCGTTTACTCCAGCCAGCCTAGATTAGTCCAGAAGGAAAGCTTCCGGAAGCGATGCTGGCGACTGGAGAAGTCGTGGCCGTTGGTCGGCCACACTCCTGCATTACTACAGAATTGAACTAAAAATATTCAGTCCTTTAATCGCACTTTGAAGATATTTAGTTTGACATCGATTTGGTGGAGCAAGTGGTTAGCGCGTTTGGCTGCGATCGTGGAGGTTAAGCAACTTTCGCAGTGGTCGGTCATCGGAAGGCACGTTAAGCCATTGGTCCGGCTGCTTCTACAGTCTTTAGCAGCCACTAATCCGCACTGGGCCCGCGTAGTGGATCATACATGGCATTATTCCATTCATAGTAAAGGCCTGTGCCCCAGCAGTGGGGACATTAATAGGCTGATGATGATGATCAATCAATCAATCAAACCATTTATTGCATTCATGTAGTTACAGTGATGGTTAAATACATGTTATAAAGTACGTTATATGAACCCTGTCAGGGTATCGCAATACTTGGTGTTCTTGAATAGAATTTATAATAATCTAATATACAATTTAAATAAAATTTTCTTGAATTTACGTTGTATAAATATCTACTCAATCAATCAAAATTTATATATTTCATCAATTATCCCATAAAAAATAATATTAATAATTAATTTGAATTGAATTATAAAATATAAATAAAATGAAAACAATGTACATAACAAATTACTAAATATAACCCACCTTAAAATCAACCGTAATCAATCACAAACATATATTTTAAAATCAGACAATCATACATTCCAATTAAGCAATTAAGAATCGTATAAAATTATATTATATTATTATTATGTGACTCAATCTATCCAAAACATATTTCTTGTTGATAATATTTATTTAGACGTAAGGTACTGATCTATAGAGTAATAGCATTTATTTATCAAGAGCTTTTTTAATTTCCTTTGAAATATGTTAATGTTTTGTTCATTTCTAATTTCTTCTGGTAGCTTATTAAATACTTTTATGGACATATACTTTGGACTACAATTCAATATTTTGATCCTAGATGAAGGTAGGTGTAACCTATTTTTATGGCGAGTGTTTAGATTGTGTGTATTACTTACTTTAATTAATGTATTTTTGTTTTTGAATACAAAGGTAGATATATCATATATGTATATTGAAGGTAACGTTAAGATTTCATATTTTATAAAATAGGGTTTACAGCTCTCTGTGTTATCTATATGTGCGAGAATTCTAATGCATCTTTTTTGTAAAATAAACAATTCTTCAGCATCAACACTATTTCCCCATAACATAACTCCATACCTAAGCCGTAAGGAGTATACATATACATAATAAGTAGAAATTGCAGTTTTTAAGTTGGTGTTACATTTTATTTGAAACAGCACATAAGTAAACTTCGATAATTTGGCTTTAATATGTGCCACATGCTTCTTCCAATTTATGTTTGTATCAATGTTAACTCCAAGAAGACTAAAATCATCAATGATTTCAAGGTGTTTTACTAAAATTGGTGGAATGGCGTCTAATCCGCAGCTATGCTTATTTTTAATTGATTTTATTATATTAGTCACTTCCTTTAGGTTCACGGGACGCAGATACATTGAACAGGTCGGTTGATTTATAACTGAGCGTCCTGATTTGCTGCAATGATTTTTACCTATTGTTGCAAAATGTTCATTCAATATACTTGAAACCGCCAATGGACACTCAACTATATCATTATTATGTTTTACTTTAATATTTTTATATTCGTTTTTCCTTGTTCTACCAGTTCTTTCATTGATTATCTTCCACATGGTTTTATACTTATTTTCTGATTTATTTATTTGCTTTATATACTTGTTTCTTTTTGAAATTTTGATGCTTCTTTTCAATATGTGATTAAAGGTATTAAAGATAATGATGATGAATCCCTCATTCTCTTAATCTTTAATATTTTGTATTAAAAATGCTTGTTATACTTGTATTCTCTAGAAAACACTAAAGATATAGGTGTTGCAAACTTATCGCCTAAGTCCCTGTTTATCAATAAGCTTTTACTATCTGTTCAAAAAAGCTAGCAGAAATTGGAAAAGAAAAATAAGACTAGCCAAGTGAAAATCCGTCTCTCTCACACACACACAAGCTTGCATGCATATTAGCAGTGATTTTTCTATAAAACCATTAAATAATAATGATTTGCTCCATGGTCACGTGACCGAAAACGCCTAAGATTGGCCAAGACTAAACTGACGTCACATGCTAGTAAACTTCCAGATTGACATTACATTGTATCGTTTGACGTTTTAATGACAGTTGTGTGACGTCACAGACTAGTAAGACGCCCAGTCGTCAGACGGAAGACGTCCAGAGAAATATTTTCGCGGCAACTTGAAAATTAAATTTTAATCTATAAAAAAATTATGTAGCCTAAAGGTGAATTATTTACCCCAATGCTTGACTTCTTTCGGGTGCCTCCTTGTGACGATCCACTCCCAAAGTCCAGTAGTAGCGTCGAACATTTGGCGCGCGCGGCGACGCTGCTCCTTCTCAGCAGCTACTTTGGCTTTCTCGTGCTTCAGAGGCCTATTGGAAACAGAACTGGCTATATATAAGACATAACAATGAAAGAGTTGGATCTCAGAACAAGAACTAAAGCATAAAAAGAGTTTAAATCAGTGGTTCTTAACTGGTTAACAACTGGCAGAACCAGAAATGGTCCGCAAAGCCATTTGAAAAAAAAATTACATAAGAAAGAATACTGATTGATTTACAAATCCGGAGGAAGTTCTTAAGTAACCACTGGTTTAAATTCAACTCATAAAGTCGACTCATATTATTATAGGTATCTTATTTTTACATATAGACCAGAAAAGAGAAACAAACATCATATGTTGCTATAAGCAGTATGAGTATCACTACAAACATTACAGTTGATATCTTTGGCCTTTGTACATCTTGTTTGGATGCCTTGGTTACCTAGTCTTTGCGGAAGTGTACGCTCAAATGTCATTGCTTTATTACTTCTATGCTTTAGAATCTAAATCTCTGAAAGATCTTGTTCTGAGTTGGATACTTCATAGTATAGTAATTGCCTATAGTAGAAACTTACAATCAGGCAGGCAAAACCAAATTATGAGTTGAATGCCGAAAAAGCTGAACTTATTTATCAAAGGTTATGTATACAAAAAAAAAGGATAGAAAAGTGGAATGATATATTAATTTAAAGTATAACCTGCTCTTCTTTTTGTAGTTGCACAGTGTAATGTAGACCGTGAGAGGAGTCACTTTTGACTTTTTAATGATATCCTGGTTGTTAAGCAGGGAAATAAGAATAGCTGTAGTAGTGGAGTCACTAGTAAGAAAGCCCATGTTGTGGATGCGTTGAATATGATGCAGGAGCTCCTCAAGATTGAATTGTGGCAAAATGGCATTCCACACCTACAAATAAAAAGTAATTGATAATTTCCCTTGGAAAAGCTAGGCAATACTTATTTTATAGTCCCAATTTTATATTATAATTACACCTCATTTTTCAATTATATTTTTAGGTGGATATTAAAACGAAAACCTGAATTTCGAATTCTTATTTTGTGAGTTTATTATGCTAGTTGTATAATAATAGTATAAGGAACTATTCACTGTACATTATTATAATTATGTATAGAAACCAAAACTATTCATTTCATCTCTATCAATCAAATAAATACTATTATTTAAATCTATGATTCTTTCCATATTACAATACTTACATCTTGAGATGTGAGCAGATGTCCCGGCACATGATCAAGTGTAAAATGATTATCAGCAGCAATGGAAGCAGCCGCAACCGGATCTTCGCAATGGCGCAGGTCTTCTACTTTCTGAATGTACTCAAACACCTCTTTAGTTTCGGGCTTGTCTCCTAGTAGCTGCTTTGCTCTCTTCAAGCCAAATATGGCATACTTGATAACAGCATCTCGAGCTAAAATTTAAAAAAATAGCACCATTTGGCTAAGTAGAGTAAGCAGTAGTAGTATATTATGATTATATGTATTATTAATAAAAGTAATTAACAGTTACCATAGTCATTAGCATCAATTTTGAGATGAGATTTTCGAATAAGAGTCTTGTGAGAACGACCATGACGTGCCTTCACCCTACTCATTTCCTTGGCTAATTCCATGGGTTCCCTTTGAGTGTACCACTCCTTCACATGTTTGCACCATCCACGACCATTTCCTAAAGGAGAAGAGTTCATTAACTACAATAGGCTAAAGAAAAGTTTACTAGAAAAAAATCCACGCAGACCAGGCAGTATTTTTTTTTATCTAGTAAACTTTTCTTTAGATTTAAACATCTAGCAGTTAAATGCTTAAAAAATAAATAAAATCATAACTATAATTGCTATTTCTTCTTTCAAATGTTTAATACTTGAAAAAGTATTCATTTGACATTGTGGGTTACCTACAATGCGAAGAGATGGCGCTGCCTTGCAGCTTAAGGCTAGGAAAATTTCGACGCGGCTAATAGGGCCGTGGTAGCATAATGGTCAGTGTCAGTACTTCAATAGGCTAGTTGACAATTTTTGGAAATATGTTTTAAATGGTTAATCACTGTTCTATTAGAACAAAGAAAAATGTATTGCATCTCTTTTTGCCCTAGAAAGCTACAAAACTATTTTGAAATAGATTTTCATGGACATAAAAACGCTGTCGGCCATTTTAGTCTATAAATGACATCAAAACATTTGTAAATAAACACTTGCAAGCACGTTGGAAATAATTTATCAACTGAAAGTCATTTCTTTTAGCAAAAATCACTTTGATGTAAGTACTCATTGAATATTTAAAGTTTAAAATACAACTTTGAGGGTTATGAATGTACTTACTAAGTCAAAGAGTTGTCTTTTCTGCTTTCACAAATCCAGCACCCAATTAAGTCACAAAACCAATAAACGAAAACTTTTCTATCAACATTTAAGTGTTTTTAGATATATTTAAGTCCATTGAAAGAAACCACAGTAACATGATAATGACGTTTAGTTGTTTACAAATTTTGTGAAATCACAATTATGGTGGACAGCTTTTTTAATGTTTAAAAAGCATAGGCTAATACAATTTTTCAAATTAAATTACTACAGCCATCTTCTAATTTTATGAAGTGCAATCAAAGTATTTAGGTTCCTCATACCAAAAATTATGAGAAATAAACATTTGTATGGTACAATTTGACAAGAGTCAACTAGCCTATTGAGTCATTCCAAAATTTTGTAACACATTTTTACTTATATGATATGTTGAATTTTGGTTGTGTTTATAGAAATACACTGGTGTCGATTCTGGCATTATTCTCTAAACATGAAACTAAATTTAAGTCTCCTTTGCATTCTGTATAGAGAATGAATAGGCTACACTGTTGTCAAATTTAACTTTTAGGTTAAGAGAATTATGTCAGAATCAACACCATTAAAAGGTAGGTGAAATGATAGTAAAAACAAGTTTTTCCTTCAAGACCACTGCTAATTTAGCCATTAATGTGTCTGTCTGCCTGTGACACCCAATTTGATAAAAAAAAATGATCTAATTGTAATCAGTCAGAAAAAAATAGCAAAGCAAGATTTAATACAACAATGTTCCTGTGTCCATACAAGAGTATTCTATGCAATACAATGTCGAATGCCTTGCTAAAATACTTACAATAAATTGTCTCTAAGATTAAATGTATTCACCTGTTTTCAGCAGCCTAGTAAACTTATTAAACAACATCATCTGTTCTGGAGTGCGGCAAACTTCAGCAGCTGCTTTATAAGTAGCTTCCTTCACTGCCGGGGAACCCAGTAATAAGCACTTGCACAGGGCAAATGCAATGGTCTCAAATCGAGTGTACCATCCATCTTTATAAGCCTTAAAAGATATAAAATAATTCTAAAGCTCATCAAAATTTATTTGCATAAACAAAGTCATAAGTAAGTTTCATGCTGGACGGGTTGAAGTAATTTAATATTCAAAATATAAAATTACAATATTTTCATTTAAATTACACAAAATTAGTTTATTAAAATAGATATGTATAATTTATAGTTTTGTGTCTGCCTTAGTAAAACTCTTTGTCATCATTTAAAAATATGAGATGCATTAGTAAGTGAAATGAGATGCATTAGTAAGTAAATTATTACAAATAATTATTTAAGACACCTAGATAGGCTTGGTTGCTTTTATTCAAGGTGCACTACATTACACTCCACTACCACCTAGTAATAAGTGTATGTGGTGTCCAGACATGAGGATAGCTGATAAGTCAGAAAAAGTGCAAAATAATTAATAGATGATATTGTAAATAAATTACCTTCAAAATAATATTGACTACTTCAACGTTTTTCATTCCATTTGCCAGTACATCGTTGAGAGCTGTCAATCTATCAACTTCGAAGTACTTGTGAGAAGTCCAGCAGCCAGGAAAATACTTAGGAACTTCATTGCCAGTATGTAGGTATCGCGTTATTCTGTTTCGTACGCCTGATTCAAGCTTGGGGATCGGCTCAGTCATTTTCACCACGGAGCTCACTCACAGATTTCAGGTTCTGGCGTCGCAAAAATTTACCACGCAAGTTGTACAGCACTTTCATTCAGTTACCTGCCACTAAAATCGTCGATGACAGGATCTGAAAAACAAGAAAAGGTAAATGCACTTCTCGAGAAATAGCTATTAATTTTTTGTCGGTATTCAAGCGAAACATGTGCCACAATAAATTGAGGATGTGGCCAGAAAAAATGGACAATGGAGGCTAAATTTACAGCATACCGAAACAACCAAATAATTACTTTCAGACATAACCAAGTCAGAAAGTGCAAAACATTATCATTACGAAAGTAAAAAACAACACTTTCTACGATTATAAAACCTAAAAGAAGAATTATTTACCAATTACTGTAGGTACATCTAACTCAACTCACCTCCTCTCCTCACACATTCACACAGATTACCTAGACCTACCTACAGTTTTTATTTTTATTTTTTTTTATTAAGTTCTCCCTTTTCAGTGAAGGCAAAGGGAACAATGCCCATACAGCCAAGTCTTAAGTTAAATTATTCTGTTTTTCTTTTTACATTAGAATGTCGGTGTGACGCATTCTAATGTTTCTTGAAGTGTTTGGCACGAAATATATCGAACTGGCTTTTTCGATAAGCTTCTGTGAGGTAGTCAATACTACAATAAAATTCTCACGTCCACTTAACCGGAATAGCGTATATTTTGACGATTCTACTAATTCTTCAGTTACGCAGGCAGTTGTAACACAAAATCACACCAATTTTATTTCACAATATCCACTATGAACGAATTTAAGAATAATTAAAATAAGACGCCAACCAGACTCGATGAAATCCCGCCGAAAACTCCTTTTATTTTTTTTATTGTTTTTCCGTTATAGCCTGCACGGTTTGTGCATCAGCCACATACAAATGTAAAGGTAAAAGAGGACCGAGATTTTTGACGTGACAACGTCTTAAATTAGGTTGCAGCTGGGAGTCACTTATGAAAAAGTGTAACGCTCGGTAACGTTACGATGAGTCTCTCGTGTTAAGTTTAAGTTTACATGTACAATGTTTTAGTAAACAAAATATATTTCTATAGTTAAAATTTGTGCAATTCTTATTTTCATTCAATTCCTTGTTCCTATTGTGCAATTTAATTATATTCATATCAATAAATATTCTACCGAGAAAAAGACGTTGTCACGTAAAATCTTCGCCCGTAAAACCGACTTTACAGGCAACCATTTTTTTTAAGGAAAGAACCAGGTAAGTATTTACATATACACTTATATACATTTACAGTTTAATATGTTTAAGGATAAAATTTGAAATGCACAAATAAATATCATATTTCATACACTATAGCAAAGTATTATTTTACAGAAGTCGGGAGAGGAATACCATGGGATGTTAAGGAGTCAATAAAAGAGGAACAGTCATTTAACGAGCAGGCAAAAAAATATGGTTTAATTCGCGAATATCAGCGCCGCAATTACACTTACTGCTATTAAGTAACTATTCCTAATCTGGCGAGATGAGAAGGTGTGCAAACATGACCCAGTCTCATTCAAGTTATGATAGCAGTCTTTATCTTGCCAAATCTAAAATTATAAAACCAAGACTTTGTAGGAATGGAAGTTTGAATTTGTGAGTAATGCTTTCCTTTATTATTACTTTTGAAACAGACCATATTTGTCCCCAAGATTCACATAGATCCGAAATAGGAAGACCTAAAAGATCATTAATAAAGTTTTTGTAAGGAAAAACATCTCCACAATCCACAGCATCATTGGCAAGTTTATCAGCAATTCCATTGCCAGAAAACTACATCGAAATCTTTTAAATGACATTGCCAGAGCAATTTTATACAATCTTTTAAAACAGGATGATTGGTTTGAAGGTTCGTGGTCGTACAAGTGAAGCCCGATGATCGTGTTATCTTCAAATAAAAACCGCGAAGATAGGACACAATAAATATATTCTATAGAAATACAAATTCACACAAATTAAATATTTTACTTATTTACAAAATTAAACCTTGACATGAAGTAACAGAAAAATATCACTATGAGAACGAACAGAAAAAAGGTATTTCTATTCAAAAAAACCTAACCGGCCAGCCACTGCTAATCGCAACCTCAACATCCACCCCACCTTGCAGTGCTGGCATCTAGAGCATACACTTACAGCAATGCAAAACCGAAAAAAACCTATAAATCTAGCCTATGGGGCACTCTCACTGAACGACCACTACGCGTGACAACTGATCGTGTATCAATCCCCATTGAACAATCCCTACTGTTACTGTTAAGCTCAAGGGGATACAGCCGTTGATATGCTCTCACTCTTTCGCCCACATTTGTGCGCAATAGGCTAGTTTACTCATGTCGAATTGTATTAAATAAATGTTTATTTCTTAAAATATTTAGTCTAAGGAATCTTAATATATCTATTTCACTTCATAAAAGCAGAAGATTGCTGAAGAAATTTAATTTAAAAAAATATTTCTTAGTCTATATTTTTTAAACACTAAAAACGCTGTTCGCCACATCCGCCATGATTTTGACGTCTCTTGTGGTAAACAACTAAATGTCATTCGCGTGTTACTGTAGGTGGATTCTTTCGTCTGACTAAATTTATCTTAAAACACTTTTAACTTTAGGAAAGAAAAAAACAGTAAACTTATTTTTTTTTGACAAAACTAATTATGGATGCTTGTGTTGATTTGTGAAAGCAGAAAGCACAAATCTGCCAAGAATTGACGCATTGATGGTTGGTGAATTTGTTGCACTAAACCCCGATTTCTGCTCTGCGGAGCAGAGAAACGACAAGGCATCTATGTAAGTACAGTGCATTTAGTATTACAATGTAGTAATAAACATAAAACTGATACAACATATGAATAAGTGTAATAAAGTTGCGTAGGTTAATTTCTTTCGGCACTTTAATCCACAACTTTCCTGGAGTCTTCAAGGATGTGTTTTTATATTCTCGTACAATACAGTAATGATAATTACTTTATTTTTCGTGGTATTTATTAGAAATCATGTTTTTTTTTATTATAAACTCAGTTAAAAGTAATTTTCTACGTGTTTACGAGTTTTTGTTTACCACAGTTCACATCATAGCATAGATAACTATAGACTAAAATGGCCGACAGCGTTTTTGTATGCTTCTTATCATCGCTGCCAATCAAAACAACGTCACCCTCCTTGACCAGTCGTGCGCTATCGCCTGAATTCTTATGGACGAGCATGGAAAGATATTCACTCCTAAAACGTAACCGTAAGTCCTCCGTAAGCTTCTTTATGTACCGCCATCTTGCAGTCAAACCATCAACATGAGAAATATCTGCCAGTTGTGCCTCCCCACCTACAGAACCCAAAAACATTGCTGGTGTTAATGGAAGAAAACCTTCCGTGTTGTCCATAATATACGTCAATGGTCTGGAGTTTATAATTGCTTCAACCTCGCAGATTATGGTGGTCATCTCCATTTCATGAACCGACGCCTTTCCCAGAATGCGACGTAAAATATCCTTTTTTGTTCTTATCATCCTTTCCCAAAATCCACCCCACCATGGCGCTGCCGGCAGTATGAAGCGCCATGAAATTTTATTTGCTTGGGAGGCTTCAGATATTTTAGTTCATTCAATGTTTGTAAACAAGTTGCTAGCACCTCGAAAATTTGTTGCAATGTCGCTGTATATTACTTTAACAGCGCCCCTTCTTGCCAGATCTGCGCAATGCTAAAAGAAAATCCACCGTGGACAAAGATGTGCATAGCTCCAGGTGTACAGCTCGGTACGTAGAGCAAGTAAAGACTGCAATCCAGCATTTCTGACCACTATGCAACAATAAATATCCTGCAAAGTCAATACCTGTTACTGCAAAAGCCTCCCCACAAGTGACACGATCCACTGGTAACGGAGCTTCTGGTGCAGAACAGGGCTTCGCACTGTACCTCTTGCAGATGACACATTGTTGTACAGTTCTCTTTGCTATGCGCCGGATTCCGATTATCCAATAATTTTCACGTAGCTTGTTAATTAAAGTTTGGGAACCAGCGTGTAAAAATTCAATATGCTTCTGTCTAATCAAACGCTCAACAATAACACTCTTGCCTGGTAATAACACACGATATTTAAAACTGTTTAAATTGTCGCTGAATGTTAAACGAGTCTTGACACATATCAAACCATCTGTATTCTTTATAGTTTGCAAACTTAATCCTACGACTTTATCTGTAAAGCCAAATCGCTCGATCTGCAATATTCTTAACAGTCGCGTCTCAGCATCTGCAAATTCCTCGGCTGTTACACTTGATTTACCTCTTCGAAGACGTAACCACCTGAGACACCAAACGACTGTCCGTACTATCTGCGAATACTTACTAAAATAACTTAAACGTTCTGAAAATCTCTCCGTACTAACTTCTAATAGACAACTCTTCTTTACCTCTTTCTCTACTTCTTTATAATCGGGCATAGGATTCGACACTGGCCACTCGATTTTTGGCTTTAGCAGCCATTGTGGACCCTCAAGCTACTGACTCTTCAACAGTTTTTGTGAGTCACAACCACGCGAAGGTAAGTCCGCAGGATTTTCTATACCTGCTATATGTCGCCAATCGTTTGCGCTAGTTCTTTGTAAAATTTCAGTAACTCTATTATGCACAAATGTATTAAGACCCACTTTCCTTCGTATCCAGGCCAGAACAATGCTCGAGTCAGTCCAATATGTCTCTGAGCACTCTAACTCCAAAGCCAACTTCACTTCAGCAGCCAGCCTGGTGCCTAAGACGGCTGCTATAAGCTCAAGCCGGGGGTCGTAACCGATTTTAATGGAGCTAGTCGTGTCTTCGCCATTACTAGTTGCACACATACACCATCTTCACACTCCGATCTTAAATATACACATGCGGCGTAGGCACACTATTTCAATTGAATTCTTATTGTTGAGCAACTTACTTTTACTGAGGCGTCTTGGAACATTATAGCCTTTTAGTACATTTAACTGATCGATCCACTCTCACACTTTGGCCCTAAACAGCTCTGGAAGCTCACTGTCCCAACTAATCTTCAA